CTGCTCACTTTTGTGACCATCGGCATGATCATAGGTGGGTCTTTCTTAAATTCTCCTCTGATACTTTTTTTCTAATTGTTCTGATATTTCTCGGTATTCAATCGGTTTTTTTAACTGATAGGTAACTTTTTGGAGTTGGGTTTGTTGAAAGTTACAATTTTGGATGAAGGAATCAGCATATACTGACTTTGATGAATTGATAAGTTGAAATTAGAAAGAAACTAATGGGGGAATGCTCATAGCTGGTAAAGTTTTGGGCTTGCACTTGATGATGGGGATGGTACTGAGATACGATGATCTGAACTCACATACATTTATTCAATCAGTTGAGAATTCCATACATAGAGCTGAATCTCTAAGTTTGACTAGATAAAGTTGGATCACTTGGTGATGGTATGTTGGTAACCACATCTTGTATGTGTAAGTGGGTAAATACGGTGTGACGTTGATGTCGAGATATGTAGATTATGCCTGCCAGAGATAAAGACTGAGATCTCGGCAATGACTCGATTCTTGGAAAAGTAAATGTTTTTAGTCATATGATTCAACTAGACGGATGGTTATATGTCAAAATCTAGGCCAAGAAAATGTTCCTTTTTAGGAAGTCACATGTAGCTTTGCAAGAACAACATGAGAGAGGATTATTTGAGCGTTCGAAGGTGTTTGGACCTGCATTGAGGAGTCCGATAAATGTGATAGTTACGGAAATTAAAACGATCATCATTGAAAGAGCATATGCTGTCATTGGCAAGCCAAGATAGGTATTGGATTTAGGCAATAAAATGGGCTTTCTTAAGGCATTCACTTATTAACATGATGATGTTTCTAAAGTGAGCTTGATGTTGAAAAAGGATTGAATGTAGATAGTGCTGGAGAAAGGCTATCTTGTGTCTATAGTTGTTGTCAAAAAAAGCAATTTTATTCTCTTACAATACTAAATATTTACATGCTGGATCCGCTCATAGAGGAAAGGGGAGTGGTGCTGGTTCACAGAGAGCCAAGAAGAGATGAAGAACAAATTCTGTCGTAGTACAATTTCAACTTCTGGTCTAGGTAATCTATATATAAAACCAAATTTCCTATGTAAAAATCCTAAAAAGATGTTATTAAAATTCTAAAAGGATTAATTACGGATAGATCTCCTGCACTATAGCCCAATTACGGATAGACCCCTGTAGTTTTATGGATGTGGATAGACCTGCAGAGTGAACTTTTCCGACTCTTATAAGTATCAATAAAAATAAAAAAATCACTCAGGGGGTCTATCCGCACTTGCACAAATAGTATAGGACGTCTATCTGCAATTGGGCAATAGTACAGGGGGTCTATCCTCAATTAATCCAATCTAAAAATTAAAATCCAACAATTTTATATACTTCCATTTGCATCAAATCTAATCTTTCATACATCCTGCATCACAATCTCTAACGAATTAGGTTATCATGTGACTTGTGTCACAGGATTTGGGCTGATGTGCAATGTAGGTGGTATGAAGATATTCTTGGGTTTAACATGAAGTACCATTATGGGAAATGATATATCTAAAAGAATGCAATGTCTTCAACAATGAAAACAACAAAGATAGGAAGCAATCACATCTCTTGGAGAAACAAAATGAGATAATTTAGGCATCCAAAGGATATATACAAAGTAGAATTAGTATTCGCAGGATTGAAACTAAATTAATTAAGAAAGTAGAACCTTCCAAACAGGAACTGGCCAATCCATGGGTAGTTGTAATTACAAACTTCCTTTATTTTTCTTCTAGAAGTTCGCATATTTTTATATACTGCTTTCTGTCAGATTTTTTCATCTAATTTATGTACTGTTTTCTCTAGTTAATGATTAATAAGTTTTTTAAAGAATTATAATTTAATCAGTTGAATGCCTGCAGGGTCATTATTTCAATTAGCATTTCTTCGCCAATTGGAGGAGTCATCTGGTATACCTTTTTCTATCATCAAATCATCACTTCATTTAATTGTTATGACTATCTTTTGATCCTGTTATTTTTCTTTTCATTACTATTCTTATCTCATTTGTAAAGTACCAAACATCTATACCATTGTATAGCGAGCAGTGGAACCTTAATCTCCATGTTCGAGTCCAACCTAGATTTGTTCAGGTATAACTTTGAACACTTGACCACCTATTTTAGGCCCAAATTTTAGAATCATTCTTCGCAGTTAGCCAACTAGACCTTTCGTGTGTGTAACACAAGTCCAAGAGGATTTACCACATATCAGTTCACATATCTGCTAAACTGCATACACCCAAGTGTCATCTCATGTTTGACCTTGCCCATTTCATTACTATGTGCTCTATTACCGATTTTTATGGTTGAAGGATCTGAATCATGTGACATTAATTATAGAGTAAGACCACTTTGATCAAAACTGCTAACCCGTTTGGTCCTGAATACCTTTAACATATTGAGAACTTATAATCTTGATTGATTTTTTGATATGAGACTAAAGCATAGCTACAGCCCCTTTCACTTGTGCACTTCGACTGCACGCAAGAGATAAACCCAAAAAATCATCAGCAGAGATAAAACTTGAATTTATTTCGTTATGAGTTGTGGTACACCATTATCCTATAAAGCTAGTATGTCAGTATTGTTTCTGCCTTGTATCATCTAAGGACTCTATTTCCAGATCTGGGATACTGCTCCATGCAGACATTATTACACTAAGAATACTGCATTTTAACATGTGTAACAATTTTCATCCATGTACTGTTACGAGGATTTTGATTGGTTGACATGATAAATCAATATTTCTCATTTGATTAACATTGAGTCTTGTTTCAAGATGGTATTAAGAGATTAGAGGTCCTTTTACCTTCATGATGGATTCAGTGCGAAAAGTTTTTGTGACGATTACCACTTTACAAAGTTGAGCTTAGCTTCTCTTGGTAGGTATGCTTGCAATGATAGGTACAGTACTTATGTGTTGCTAGGTTTTCTCCCCTTCTCTCTCTCTATCAGCCATGGCATTTCCCTATATATTTCCATTTTTTATTTTACTTTTTCAAGGCCTGAAAAAGTTAGCTTTTATTCATGAAAAGCCCTTTGATTAACTATATCTTGTTGAATTTGTTCTTGCTATGTATCTGAGGTTTCATGGGTATAACGAATATATTTGCTGAACCTTATTGAGTTTCCTCCTACGCGGTCTTTTAGTTCTCTTGGCGATTATTTCCAAACCATCTTCATGAATGCTTGCATATTTCAAACATCTATCTTACTTTATTTTCCCAATTAGGTTGTATGTCTCAGCGGATTTCGGAGTTCTAATACTTAATTCAGTTTTGCGAAATTTTCAGTCCCAAGATATTTAAAATACTTGATTTGTAATGTTGGGTTAATTAACTAGGGTCTTGCAATCTACAGTTAGGAATTTAGATTCCACAGCCCATATACTCATCAGGAGTTGATCCTTTTCCTGTTAATCTTTCATTTGGTTCAAGTATTGAATGTAATGTCAGTAAATTGGTATTCTTTAATTAAGATAAGCATTCATCTTATAACCAATGGAGCAAGAAGGATTAGAGGCAGGCGTAAGAGAAATTTATTGGAAGTGATTAAGAAGGATGTGATGGGGTTTAATGGAGGAGATAACACTTGACCAAACTGAATGGAAGAATATGATTCATGTAGCCGACCGTAAAAATTTGTTATGTGGACTTTGTTGTTATTCATTATTATTATTATTATTATATTTTTTTGGTGAAATCCAAATTTAGCTTCTTTTCTCTATTGAAATAGAGAATATGGATCGTTGTCCTTTATTCAGTTATTCATGTGGATCCTGATTTCCTCCTTGTGTGAACTATGAATGTTTAGTGTTTTAGAAAGCTGATCAATGTACCATTGTATATTGCAAGTACCCTAACGTGTTAATCTAAGCATTGAAGATTTCTTTCAGAGTTAACCAGCTACATATGCTCACTAAAATATTAATTGGTAAAAGTGTTGCTTATTAGTGCATTGCTGGTTGTAGGTATTTCTCATTGGGAGAATGACAAAGAAGCAACTATACTTCGTCTTGGATTTGTATGCCCTTGTTCTTTGTGCTTATTCTCATAACATAATCACATGTAGATTATCTTTTGTTTCTTTTTCGCTCTACCTTTTCTGTGGCAAAATATATTCTCACCTGTGCTCATCTCCAGCTTTTTTATCTGGAGAAGATGATTTAAGGCTTCACTGTAGATTTGCATGCCAAAACTGACTTTGGTATGCATACTCACAAGCTTAATAGCTGTATATTAATACTCACAAGCTACATAGAGTTGTAGATGCAAACTGTCTTTGATGTGCATATATATATGACGTTCTATTACCACACACATACTTGCATTCACGTCTGTGCGGGTAGGATAGGTGGCTGGAGGAACTTATGATGACACGGCCATTGTTTTTGTTCAGTAATAACCTCATAAGTCACCAACTAAGAATTTTCACCATCCAGTTTGTTATGGTTTTTTAAAGAATTTCTGTACTGCATTAGACAAGTTTTTTTTTGTCTTGGGAATCATTGCCTATAAAATGACTGATAAGAACAACAATCTATCTTGGTTATTGGCATTTTGAGCGACAAATATTTGTTGCTCAAAAAAATTGTTTTGATATTTTCTGGACTTTTTTCTTCCAAGTCTTTCTGATGATTTATTTTTTTTCTCAATTGACGTCACTTTGTTTTCTGCAAATAAGGTCAAGCCTGAAGTACTAAGCTGGTCTCCAAGGATAATTCTTTACCGTAACTTCTTAAGTACAGAGGTATGAATAGTGATCCTTTCCCTTTAATTCATAAAGTTTTGGAGCTTAGTCTTCTCTTTGGAAGGACTTTAATTGTATTGGTGACATTATAGTAAACTACCCCAGTCTTATCTCAGGAAGAACATGCTATTAGATGGAACATTGCTGTGTTATTTCTAAGAGAAGAGGTTGATCCCCCCCCCCCCCCCATTTCTCACTTTTGTTTGGTAATATACAATAATATCAGTATTTTGTGTTGATTATAGTATGGGTTGGTTATATCAGTAAGGTTAATTCCTGTAAACTTATACTTTTTTTTTCCTTGTAGTTGCAGAAGACAATAACTTTTTTTTGTTTCTTGTAGTGGCAGAAGTTGAATTTTTTGAGTACTACATGCCTTCGCATAAATAGAATTTCACATAACCTGGATGTCCTTTGTTTTTGCTATTCTGTTTTTGGCCTTTCCTCATATATTCGATAAGGACTAATATAACTCCAAGAATAAAATTAGCCAAAATGGGTTGAGGTAGTTAGGACTTAGGACGTACAATAGATACAGCAAGTTCTGGCTAGAATAAGGATTGTAGTTGAAGCAAAGTCTAGGATTAGGAAAAGCGACGATAATAGATAATATTGAGGATGCAAGGGGAATAGGAATCATCTAACCGAACCCAAAGATTCACGATAAAGGCTTTTGTTGTTGTTGGCAAGATAATGTACTCCGTATAAGAAATCTTGAGTATAGAGTTCTTAAAAATTAAAGGTAAATTTTGAGGCTTGGCTCCTTGGACCAATGAGGTAGGTCACTGTATTTCGCCAGTGAAACCCAACTAGAATGTTGGACTTAGAAATGAGTGTGGTTTCTGAGCAAGTTTATGCTTTGGATAGAAGAGACTTAAATGGCATGCCATAGTGAGATATGATAGTTCATCACTACTGGACATGAAAGATTCACCATCTCATGGGAGCCAATTCAGTATCTCTATATAGCAAAAGAACCATGTAGACATGACAACAATAATGATACCAATATGCAATACACACACGCACGCACGCGCGCGCGCACACATTTCAGCCCGTCAAAAACTCTTCAGCCCGTCAAAAGCAAGTATCTTAAGCCACACACACACACACACACACACACACACACACACACACACATTTCAGCCCGTCAAAAACTCATTTCAGCCCATCAAAAGCAAGTATCTTAAGACACGCGCGCGCGCACACACACACACACTTCAGCCCGTCAAAAGCTCATTTCAGCCCATCAAACCACACACACATACATTTCAGCCCGTCAAACCACACACACACATTTCAGCCCGTCAAAAACTCATTTCAGCCCGTCAAAAGCAAGTATCTTGAGCCCTAATCTGGCCCGTCTAAAACCAGACCGAAAGACTTGGCAATCTACTTAAAAGATTTTTTGTGCTCGGCCCAAGCTCGGCTCATATTGTGGTTTTCGTTATCGTTTTATAAAGCTGCAAGGTGTAATCTTAGTAATTATTATACAATGTTTCTGTTATCGCTATGAGAAGAGGGGGAAACAAAGAATCCAGAATAACGTAGAGAAACTTTCATATATGATGAATGTAATCCTAAATATAGTTGATTCGTTTAGTGGAAGAGAAGCACCCTGTGGCTGTAAATTCATCTCCTTTTTTCTCTAACTAATTGCACTCTATTTTCTTTTAGTCTTATATGGTTAATCATGTATTTGATGGGACTGCAAAGTTCAAAACGCTCTAAGTCCCTGACAATTGCAGGAATGTGATTATCTCAGAGCAATTGCGAGACCCCGTCTTCAGGTTTCTACTGTTGTAGATACCAAAACAGGGAAGGCAAGTTCGCAAATCACATAACTCTTTTATTTGATGAATATTAAGTGAATATGATGTATCACTATAGTTTGTTTTACATTGATATTTTGTTTATTTTTTCAATATTGTTCTTGGTTTTGTTATTTGCTTTCTTATGGGAAATCAATCTTAACTTTTTACGAGAAGGATACAATTTGTATTGAAAAACAACTTTTAACTGGGTGCTATGTGATTCACTTCTAGTGATGATACTGAATCTTTCCTTTGTTGAGCCTTTCTCTTTACTTTTGTCAGTATTGTCCTCACTATTGGTCGTTATCTTTCTTCCCCTTTTTATCCATATAGCACTTGTTTGTCCCATTAACCTTACCCTTGTTCTTCTCGAAGAAAGCAATCTCACTGTCGTCCTTCCTTCCTAAATCATGTATTCTAACTTAACCATTTTTCTAAAGATTTCGACACCGCGTTCCTGTCAACACACTATAAGCTCTGTAGTTCATGATAATAATGAGCATACCTAAAATGCCACAATTTACCATCAAGTTTAGCCAGTGCAGCTGCAAAAAGAAAATATGGTATTAACTTTGATTGTTTTCATCTGTTTTATGCTCGTCAGTGGATGATGAACTACCACCTTTTAAATGACAAGTATTCTTCAACTCCTCCATCTCTTTCTTCTTGTAAAAGGAAATGCAACAGTCCTGCCTTTATATAAGTTGCTAACAACCAAGTGTAGATGCTGCACGTACCTACCCAAACCATTGACACTTCATTTGGTAGAAAAAATCACTATTCATCTAATTGTTATAATTGGTCCTATTCTTAACATCTCTAATTGTTCAAGACTAGTACCGGCTAATGCCTGAGCATTAACATTGTTCCTGTTTGTTCAAGACTAGTACCGGCTAATGTATGAGATCATTATGGTGTTCCCACAAATGTTCAAATTTAATGTAGCAGTGTCTGTAATTGTTCACCTTTGTAGTTTACAAACGTGCTGACGCTAGTTATGAACTATAATTGAAACTTATGACCCTATTCTAGAATTGAATATTTAGTGTGGATTTAGAAGCATAGACCTGCTCTAAGGACCAAAAGCTTTGTTCATGGCTTCATGCTTCTTGCTATATGCTTTTCTTACTTTTTAGTTTCTTAGTTCTTGTTTAAAGCTTTAATTGGTATTTAATTTCGAACGTATGACTTATAATACCTGCATTCTGAATTAAATCACTGATTGATGCTCAACCATTTGAGTTATATGTGTTATAATTGGAGATAGTTGCTATTCCTTTTTGACAATGCTATCTTAATTATTTGTGGCACTTGCAGGATGACTGCCTTATCGGGATTTTGTTTTATATTTCTATATAAATAATAGTCTGCCTTTTCCTGTTAGATATAACTATTAAGATTACGACTAGTTTGGTAGTAACAGATATTGGTTCCTTTTCTGGGAATTATACTTAATTTGTCTGGATAGCAGCATTGTTAGAATTATGAGCATTATCTACATGATGTACTGAGACTGTTATAAGACATTATAAAAAATTATTTATACAAGACAAAAATGATACCTAATTCTTAGTATTTACTAATAATTCTTGCTGCTAATTCCAGGGAATTAAGAGTGAAGTTCGTACAAGTTCCGGTATGTTCTTAAGCTCCGAGGAGAGAAGATATCCAATAATACAGGTTTGTTTCTATGTTTCATTTCTGCCCATTCTTTATTTTTTTTCCTAGTAAAAGCCCATTTCTTTATTGGTATATTATTTCGCCCATTTTATTGAAACATGAAGTCCTCTCCTAATATTTTCATCTAACTTGTCTTTGACATCAACTTTGTTGCCTTATCAGATAGGGTCTAAAGAAACTTGCGAATGTAGATGTGTATGATCCATCATCATATTGAAAGAGATGTGTTTATAATTTCAATTTCTGTAATTGAAGCAAGCCAGCAATTTGGCATTGCTGAAACCAAGTATACCAAAATAACATATAGCTTCTTATCGCTCTAAGTTCCTAATACATTTAGTATGTTGTTTTGAGTTCACCACTGAAAGTTGTGTGGTAAATAATTCAGGCTATTGAAAAGCGGATTGCTGTCTTCTCACAAGTCCCTGCTGATAATGGAGAGCTCATTCAAGTCCTTCGGTAATGTCTTTTGTCCTTTGTTAGCTAGTTTGTTCTGATGGCTACAAGTTATAAATATTATCAAGCAAGCCAACTACGAGTCACAAGAATAACAATCAAGCGACCAATCTCTCAGCTAATATTTGATAGATATACAGGTATGAACCAAATCAATATTACAAACCACATTATGATTACTTTTCTGACTCAGTAAGTTCTTATACCTTAATACTTCATTATATCATTTTTTTTTTCATTGTCTTTATATGCAATGCACTGGTAAGACATACTGCATATAATGTGGAATTGTGGATGCAGTACAACTTAAAGCGTGGAGGACAGCGAATAGCAACAATGCTCATGTATTTAACTGATAATGTTGAAGGGGGTGAAACACACTTTCCCAAGGTATGTTTGTTCAATAGTTCAGTGTAATTACTAATTGAACAGATTTATTATGACTGACTGATTTGAGAAATGGTACATCAGTACTCGGTAGTTTTTATGGCATGTTTAATATAACTTATTTTCTTTTTGGTTGATGCGTGAAAACCTTCATAGCCTATTGAACTCTTTAATTTAGTGATAATCTAGAAAACACAGACTTCAACCAATTTTGGAAATAATGATAACATATAAAGTAACGCTCGGGCTCTCCATAACTTAAAGCGCACCTAATGTAACACAAAACAGAGGTTATGAGTTTTTTTAATTTAAAATAAATAAAAATATCAATAATAGTTTTTTAATAAATAGAAAGATGATTTCAGAATAGAAAAAAATAAATTTTAGTTAAGATCTCACAAGTTATACTAATTTATTGACGAGTAAAACAATAAAATGTTCAATACATCATAACAAACTTACATATCTCATTTATAAACCCATATTTACGTCATTGTCACTAATAGTATGTCATTATCAAGCACTAAATTATCCTGACACCTCGTCTAGGCTCTCTGTACCTGTGTTTGTCGCCGACACTCCTTGAACACTACTTGAATATATGCATGCATTCACTAAAACATGTATTCAATTATACAATACTTATTTTAGCTTAAAACACTCGTCATACACCATGGACACGTATCTTACATTTCACGACCACTTCTTGGAACTTGGTGAACACGGAATGAGTTCGTTTTAGCCTATACCCAGTTAAGAAGTATGATTATAAAGAGTCGTTCAAGTATCTAGTTAAAAAATGAGGAGTATTCCAATTTATAATCTGCATTATGAAAGAAACATAAAAATATCATAAGACTTTTATTTCTCATAATATGTGAAGGTACGTGCACCGTTAATTTCATTATATATATTGTCATGTACCGTAATTTTTACAAATTCGGTCTCCCGCACCCGTATCTGCACCTGCACCAGTATTCATGCCACATAGCATAAGCATAATGATGTTAGCAAATATGAGTCACGACAATGAAAGAAGCCATCAAGTCTTTATCAGATAATCCAAAAGTCTAATCTCACTAGTGGACAATCTTCAGTTAATTGTTAGGTTAATCACCCTTGTGTTTTTTTTTTCTAATCATTTTCTTCCCTTTTTTTTTTCCTTCTAGGCTGGAGATGGAGAATGCAGTTGTGGAGGGAAGATGGTGAAAGGGCTTTGTGTAAAGCCCAATAAAGGAGACGCAGTGCTCTTCTGGAGCATGGTTTGCTTTTCTATCATCTACTAAAGATTTTTACACTGCCTATGTTTTCCTCAGTAGACAATAAAATAAAACAAATTAGGGTAAATTGCACATAGCACCCCTCAAGTCTTTTTTTAGCACTTACACTTAGCCCTCTGAATTCATGAGGGAGATGAGTGTCATCTCCAATCAATCCTTTTAAAAATGATAATTTA